AGTCATCATCTGCTATTTGTTAGGCAGGTTAGCTTCCAGTGTAGGCAGTTTCTGTCCAATCTGACCACTTCTCATCCTACATTCCAAATAAGTCACCTCATGCATACTTATCTGGCCACTTTCTCAGTTTTCACACAGTCAGACACACTCATAAAACTGTCCTAAACACCTCTTTCACATCCTTCAACTATTCCAAACAGGTGTGGTGATACATCAGAATTTCATCAGCATTGGCCATGGTGGATTTACTGCGCACTTCCTAGAGTGCTTGGGTTTTTTTACCATTCCCTGGAATGTCACAGGTGTGTGCTATATGCCAGCAGCCAGCAGTGACTCTATCTGTGGAAAAGAAAGGCCAAACCAGCCTTCTGCTCTCAATGACTTTGAACTGTCAGAACCACAGGGAGTTGGGTGGGTGCCTGTTTCTGCTCCACACGAAGGAGCGACATGCAACGTTAGCAAGCTTGGTGTTTTTCAGCTGCCCTTCAGGACGCATGTATGGCTATGTGTACTGGTTGAATCAGTTGAGTTAATATCTCCAAAGGGGTCTCAGTGCTGTTATTTGAGCTTTGCAAGGGACTGGTCTCGGTGATGACTTCCATGTGGTACGTTTGGTAAAATTAAGTTGTCCTCTTCGGTATCCCCTCCTCTTACATTGATGTTCACAACAACAAATACTCAGCTTTGGTTTTTTTCTTTTACTTCATGTGTGTTAAAAGCTATGATCAGTCTTGAAAGGAAAGAAGCTTTGAGGCTCGAGCAGAGAGACAGACATTTTCAGTATGTTTGGAGGCCTCTTCTGTTCCCATTTACGGTCGTTGCAGCCATGTTTGCATGTTGTTGCAGATTTAGCAAACCCTGTGAGTCCCAAAGGTGATTCTGCACACTGTGCCGACTGTTCACAGCACAGATACCAACAACCCCAGCATTGCTGGCCCACTGATAAGCCAACATTTCTGGAACCAGCTGGAACTAATTTCAGTCTCATTTCTGACCCCTATGTTATTAAAGAACTGTGCCTGCCTTAATGCTTTCAAAAAAAAACTATTATTTTGTAAAGAATGGATGGCAAGGACAGAATTACTGTAGGAAATCTGAAGACACACTGTCATCCTGACTGATGTTATTGCACATGATCCACTTCAGACTAATTTTTTACAATTGTTGTGAAAATCAGAAGGCCTTGAATTTATTTCTAAGCTTAAATGTGGCACAATATGTGCATTTTGTGCTATATAAATTCAAAATTTAAACATTAATATATTTATCACTCTGCCAAGGTAGACTCTTAAATCTACATTTAGGCACTTAAATAAATGCCCAGGGGTTTAGATATTTAAGTGCTTGCAGCTCCTGTCGTGTTCAATAGAAGAGATGTAGCAAGAAACAGACGGCAACTTCAAGATAGAAAATATAAAAAGAAAATTGTAACTGTCATTGTATCAACCTAATGTATACACAGAAAGAAGATGTAGAAAATGTACTCTTAACATGGATTCTGATAATTAAGGGGCTCACTGTTCATCTGTCCACTAGTTGGCAGGCGTAGCAACGCAATCAGCTGTCCTGTGAATGCATCCCTGGCTGCTCCTGAATTTCTGCTAAGACGTCCTAGCAACTGTGTGCCAGCACTGCACCGTGCAAACGCAGAAGCATTAATAGGATCAGTCAAACCTGCAGGGGAGTTTTCCAGTGGATAGTACATAAAAACATTTCATTGGAAGACAGTGAAACACCTGACGAACTGGAATACCAAGGTTAAATGTGAAGGTATTTGCAGGGCTGTGTTTGTCATTTGTATTTTGGTTTTGGTTTTGTTTTTTCATAACTAGAAATCACATTCTTGAATGCGTAGCATGGAGATTTTTCCCTTCCCTTCAAGATCCTGTTCCTGAGGATTATGCAACTGTACAAGTGCCTGCAGCAGATGCTCCAGTATTCACACTCTTCCGATGGATTAAATGGGTCATTTCAAATTAAGGAACAATAGGACCTTACAGATCAGGTTCAGGGTATATTTAGTATTCCTGTTTTGATGGTGGCCAGTCCAAGATGTCAACAGGGATGAAACTGGATCTAATATAGAAGTGTACACTTTTTTTTCCCCAGATACTATGTTTTCAGAAAAATGCCATTGCATATCAGCAGTTTCAGTTGACTTAAAAGACAAGGTGCATTTTTTTAGTTTTTCATTTTGCTTTCTGGCTTTGCATCCCCCATATAGCAACCCCATAACATTTATTTTGGAACAAACTTTTTGTTCAGTCAGCAAACCAAGAAATGAGTCACTCAGCTCCCATTTCACATAAACCTTTAACTACATATATATACAGATTCACAACATATACAGATTCACAATTTCGTTCTCTTTCTTGTGTGCATTACCTGATATATTAACATGCTTTCCTAGTCTTCCTCTACTCTTTCGCTTTTCTGTAGCTGCTGGAGAGACTTTTGTTGGAGCTTTTTTTGTACTGAAGCAAAACCCTGTCAACAGAGTGCAAAAGCATGTTTAATGGCCTCTAGCTGGCTGCAGATGCCCACATTTCTGAATAGTACTCAACATCAGAAAACTGAACGTACTATTAATTAAAGGTTTCTTTTCAAATGATGCCAAAATAGAATATTTTCTAGAAAGACTGCACTCTTCCTCCAACATGAAGTAAGATGAAAGACATTTACTCTGTGATTTCATTTGCATTCTCTGAAGTGACTCTGTGAAATGTCCTTTGATAATAAAGAAAGTACTTGTTGCTGAAAACCTAAAACAAAGTATTACTTGTCAGTCTCTATACAGCGTATCTGCAAATGTGAGTCTCGCATGCAAAAAATTAGTGGTGGTGTAAAATAGGACGTGTAAGGTCACACACTTACTGGCTAGAAGATCGTAAAAGGAAATTTTTTCCAATCACAAATCATCCACACCAAATATCTATTTCAATATTATTATACAATAATATCTGAAGATTTATATTTGGCATGTGAAAGAGGTGTAGACCGTACTAAATAGAGGCTAAAGTGGCTGAATTATTTTTTTCAGAGTTAAAAAAAACACTTTTTTGCCTTTTACAATGTATCACTGAGTTTTACAGTACTTCATTTCCTATCCCTACCTCCCTGTAACGCTGCATGAAGATTCTTTTTACATTGATTTCCTTTAATACATATATATGTATTTCAGTGAGAGAAGGAAGAGTGTTTAAATAAAGTGTAAATGATCGGTGAAATGTATAGGCATTGTTTATTGTCAGAGCAAGCATGTATATGCTTAGGGTTACACAAGTGACATCTAAATAGTGTGGAAGGTGTGTTTGTCTCAGTTTGCCAAATTGGGAAACAAGCTGGTAAGTACCTTTCCTCCCACTTCCAGGCCACATACTGCGCTTTCACTTCCACAAACACAAAGCTGAAAGGAGAATAGGAAATGTGATCTCAACCTACACAGAATTAGGATGTGACTGCAGCATAAGCTTGCACCCGCTAGCTGGGAAGACCACACAATATATGTGCAGCGCTTAGGGCTCCAGAAGCAGTTCAGGGCAAGAAGAAATACTGTTGTGCTCCACTCGGAAAACCCCTTCCAACTCCCATGCAGTTCAGAAAAAGGGTAAACACCCCTGTGCAAAAACCCAAAGATACGCTGGCTGGCATTCTGGCAAAGCTTTCTCCAGCCTTAATCTCTATCTGCCTGCTCTTGCCTGCCTGCATGAGAAGAATACATAATGAGTCAGCGGGGTCCGTGTCTCCTCTCGTATGGTGTTGTGAAGAGTGCAGAGGAACATAAGGATACCTGGTACCCCTCTGTTCTCATTAAGTTACTCTGTATTAGCACTTCCAGGCTACTAGGGGAATACTTTTCTGCCCAGTATTCTGTCATACGTCTTATTTTAATTTATTAAGCCCTGCTTTTCTTGCCCAAGAACTTTTATAAGCTGTAGGAGAATACTTTAAAATCCTTAAAAAAACCCTAGGTTTTTTGAGAGCAGTCAAACTAATGAAGCTTGATTTGTGAAGAGTTATGCAACTACATCTTCAGGGATCTAACAGACACTAACCTTTTTTCCATTATAGGGTTATTCATAGTGGAGTTTTCCCATTTCTACTGTAGATTTTTTAATGTTTAAAAAGCTTATATCCATCCTTTGTCTTACTGAAAAAACACTTCCAGAGGAATGATGCTGAAACACTGGAACAGAGAAACAGAGAAGCTGTGGAGTGTCAGTCCACAGAGATGTTGTGCTCTTGACTAAACAAGTTCCTGAGCAAGCTTAGCTGTCCCATTCTGAGAAAGGAGTTTGACCAGTTGATCTCCAGGAGTCTTTTCCAACCTAAATTACGTCATGTTTCTACATAAACAATACAGTCTCATTTATATATTCCCATCTATTTTTTTGTGGCACTACTATGCTCCTATGTGCCTATATGCCATTGAATTGGGTTGAAATTGGCAAAAGGGCATCAGAGGTTATAAGAAGACGATATACTTGATAATCACATAATCCTTATTTCCTTGCAAAGCTAGACTGCACATGAAAAGAAAGAAAAGGAGTTTTGTCTGAATAACAGGTTCAAAAATTGCTGAGGTGCAAAATGTAACTTAATGATACATTTTTAAAATATGTATTTCTTAATATCATGCTTTGAATGAAATTTGGTTTCTATACATATTTTTAATTACTAGAATAATTAATCTAGCTTCTACTTTAATATATTAGTCTATATTAATTCTTAGAGTGACAAAACCCCAAATTGTCAGGCAAATTCTGATGTCTGCAACACTGAATAAATTGCTGAATTAGTATCAAACTAAACAAGAGTGGAATTTATCCCACTGATTCAAATAAGTTGTTCTGAATGTTACCGTACTTGACTATTTCTATACAGATTTATAAGAAAACCATATCTTAAGAAATAAACTATATCTATGAAGTGAGGTGAGCTGTGCCTAAGAAGCTAGAAGAGAAATGATAGCAGTTTTTTTCAGGCAGTCAAATAATTATCTGTGTTGTTTTGTAGACATTACAACTGTATTCTGTTACTTTCCGGTTTTTAACATTTCATTCATGAGATACAGGATACAAAAGATTACAGAAGACTCTGGGACACACGAAGGCTTATTCATTTGATGAACGTCACTGATGTCATGAACCACAGCAGTGAAGACTGAGGAAACTTGAGATATAAAACATGTTCAGCCTGCACAGGACAGAAAGATCTCAGGTGGAACACTGTAAGTGTTGTTTATAAATCTAAAAACCCTACAAAACTGCGTGAGAGTTTAGGTCTTCTAAATAAGTGAGATTTGTGATAATGCAGAAAGTGAAAACACACATCTTGAATCTAACTCCAGAAATTAATTTAGTTGAAAAACAACTCTTTTTTTTGAAAGATCTCAGTTCTTCCTGGAATAGAAACAGCAGAACAAACCAGTCTCTGCTAGCATGGTGAATACTGCACTGATGTCATCAGGTGGATGTTTGACATGGTATCCGTGCTAAATGAAGCAGGAACCCAAAATCATATTTTTGGGAGCGAAGCATTGCACCCTTTTCTTTATCACCTTCTCCATCCTTGCAAAGAAAACACTAGAAATAATGTTTCTAAATCAACACCATAAGATCCCTCTACATGCTATTATAAAGTGCCTAGATTTGTGATTCTGTTGACATTTACTGAAATATCTCTCTCTCCAGATGAATTAAGCAGAAGCATTCATTGTTTTATAACTTTATACATACTTTAGAGAAAAGCAAAGATTTTGGAAAAGCTCTTCAACTGGTGTAAACTGGTTTACATCCTATGATTTCTGAATTTATACCTGGTAAAACTGTACATGCATATCAAATAGTCCCATCAGAAACAGCAGGATTACTATATAATATAGTGCTGTGTTACACTCTGAAGGTGTCAGTGTCTGGCCTAAGTATCCAAAGCAGTAGTATAATCTATAGTTACGACAAACTAAACATGTCTTCTGGGCCTGAAGCACAAACCTAGCTTGTCTGTGCTTACTGCAGCTCCCTGTGAATAGAAGTAGATTTACTTTGTTTTGTAGAAACCCAGCTTTGGGGAAAGTTGGTACACTTGATGCTTGTGATTGCTTTACCTTGAACTGTTAATAGCACCCAATAAGATACTTGTTTCCCTGCCAGCAATTGCAAGGTGGATGGTGAGGATGCAGAGAAACCATCATTTGGCTAGTTAAGCACGTTTAATGTTGCTTTTGCTCCACTTCTGGCACAGAGTTTCTGAACGGATGGCCAGGCTCCAAATCCTTCTCAGACTTCCAGCCCATATGAAGTACACTGCAAACAGAAATATTTATATAGTGTCTCCCAGTGTTGCTCAAGGTAACTGACTACCATAAGAAGGAGACTATTGTTGCTCATTTTCACAGTTTTTCTATGCCTGTGCTAGATGACAGCCCTCCCCCTATTTTGGCAGTCTGCAGGATTTTCATGCTCAGATGACAGTCTCATATACATAATATATAATAATCTGCTTCCACTAAACCAAGCAATATTTGTCCAGCATTTATGGTGGTAGGTAGGTGTTGGGTTTTATATCTGGCTCTGCCTCTGTGTTTGGGAAAATCAAGTCACCACTATAGAGCAGGACATAATAAGCCATTAAATATGTCTAAATTTCTGGAATTCCTTCTGATTACCACAGAGTAGGGAGGAAGGATGAGAAAGAAAGGTACTCAGTAACAGTTGACTAAGTTGCTTGGGAAAAATGATAATTTTTTAGTAAGAGAGATTAATTGGCATGAGACTACGGCTGAAGGACATGATCGTTAAAAGGGTTCCTTGCTAGACCAAAATTTCTAAGAAACTTGCTCCTTGGTCACTATGCAACACATCACCGCAGTGTCCTTCAGCTCCAGGTGCAGCTGGTTAGAGGGTCACTGAGTAGCTGCCTGTGATGGATGAAGTCCCAGAGTGGCCGTGTGGGAGACAAGAGTGATTCTCATACCCAAAGCATAAACGGTAGTGTTGTGCAGAAATTCCCTTGAATAATTGTAGAGGTTCCACCCATACAGATGAGGAATGCAACTGTCTTCTGTCTCTAGACAGAGAGGGAGTTTTATAGCTCTGTGAAAATCCCTGTTGTTGCAATTAAGATGACTGCCCACAGCTACTTTGGGTGGTTAGAAAAAAAAGTAGGTAACTACTTGTACAGAGTAGGCTATCCTAAGTCTTATCTTTTGTAAAGAGTAAATAATAACATTCCCATTTTTTCACAGCAAGTTTAAAATCTATAGGAACAAACAATAAAAGTTAGTACTTTGGGGTTTGTATATTGCCTAGTTGGTCCATGACTAAGGAACTCTGTGATGGCAGAAAATATTAAGGTGATTCTGTTTCTTCTTTACTTAAGGATTCACTCATCAATGTCATGACTCACCAAGATACATGGTGGGTAATAAAGGAAAAGTCTTGCCTGTCAGCTTTAGGATAAATTCACTAGCAAATAAACATGTTATAAGGAAACATTTAATCTGCAGACAAAAATTCTTATTAATTTACCTCCCCCCATGCTTGAAAGCCTTATCCTTGATCTACTGCTCTTCCCTGGATCAAAAAACCCACAAAACAATCCAAAAACCGGTGTCACAGAACATAAAACCTATTAGTTAAAGAAGTTGAAAATGGAAGTCCAAAGTAGGTCAACTTTAACCAACTGACTCAATTTCTAAGGTCAGGGAAAGCTTCAGTCATACTTTTTGTTCCTTTGCTGGGGAAATTATTACACAGTAATGTCTTGGGGCTGTGTGTTTGCTGGTGCTGCCAAGACAAGTCATTTCTGTGTGTGCTGTGAGCAGCATTCCTCCTCTATCATATGACTACAAGACGGACATAATGCATCGCAGTTAACAGCACTGACTCACCCTGTAGTTTACGCCAACACTTAATGTCATTCATGCTTAATAAAACTGTAAGGTTCTGCTTTTCCACCCACTTTTTGTTATTTATCTTGAAACCTACCACAGCACAGGAGAAGTTATGGCAGATTGATATATTTTATATTCTCCATTCAAATTTTTTTGATGCATTGACAGTATACCTGAAAAAAAATTCTCTTAACAGCCACGTGTAGGTGGCCAGCATATAGCTGAATGACTGCGGCATGCTTTTCAGAGAAATAAGAACCATACGATATTCTCACTGTCTAGTCATTTTGTTTGATGCAAAGTTCATTTGGAAATCACAGATTTTTACAAGCCAAAATCCCCCCCCACAAATCCTCCAGCTCAGATCAGCAAACTGACCCACTTCTGATCTCCTCATCTAAGATCCACCTTTAAATTTTATATGCTAGCTGCCATGCTCCCTTTGAATGACTGATGTGAAGTGAATCTGTTATATATTGCAGGTACAAACCTTATTAAAAAAATATTAAATCAAACATGTTTTCCTGCAACTTTATAAGCCCAAACACAACAGCAGCAGTGTGGTAGCTAATGAGAAACTCAGAGTCGATGCACCTCAGTCCCAGCTCCAAGATGTGCTGGAAGAAGGCAAATGCCACCTCTTAATGTCACATTATGCTTTGCCCCGCACACATGTCCAGAAGGATTTCACTCAGTTGCCATTTTGAGCAATGAGCAGCTGTAATTCCATCTCTCTCCCTTCTAAGTAAAAGCAATGAGGAGAGAAAATGGGCCTGAGAATGATACAGCTCACAGAATAGTGAGGTTGGGTAGTGCTGCAGTGGCTTTCTTCATGCTGTGCTGCCAACACACCTGGACATCCACGGGAACCCCTGTGGTAGAACCCTGAAAATTGTAGCAGAGTGTGCAACTTTAATGAACTGTGCTACTCATGTGAGAATATAATATCTAGTGTAATTACAGGTGCATTTGGGCTTCGTTGCAGAAAAAGAGATTGGAGCCAAAAAATGGATTTTGCTCCTGTGTTTGGTTCCTGAAGTCTCCCGTCCCAACAAGGGTATTGGAAATACCTAAAATTTGATGCTCTCTACTTTCTCCCAAATGGAACAAAATTATCATTCAGAAATATCTGTAGCAGTTCCAGAAAAATAATCTCTCTTATTGATTTAGCAATACCAAAGTTCTGGAAAATTCTCAATTATGTATAGAGGGAATTATCCCAGTTTTCATTGTAGCAACAGAACAACAGAAATAGGCAGTTCCGGTAAAGTGTTATTCTACTAAAGCCACTTTAATTGTACTTTAACTGTATCTGTGTTCTTCATTTTCTTTCTCCATTTTCCAGCAAAAAAAAAGACACATTTTTCAGTAATATTGTTGTTATGGTAAAATGAGTTAATTGGCTTCTCTGTGTAGCATCACTTTTGATTAGCAGCTACTGTACTCAAATTCATGACCTTCTTGCTCAGAGAGCCTTTTAGGGACAGTATGGAGTGGGAATACAGACGTGACAGTGAGTGGGTGAGTCACACATTTGTGCTGGTTTTACCTCAATAATGCTTTTTTTCTTTTTTCAGTAAAAAATATGAAAAACTTTAAACAACTAAGGATTTTTCATTGCTGGCTTTAAGATATACAGAGGGTTTTGCCAGTATATATGACTGCTATAGAATATTCCCACAAGAAACAGGACAGTGTTGTTCTAAAGCTTTCTATGTTTAATATATTTGTTTGGGGCTCTCCTGTGAAATCTATCAGAAGAGAAAGGAGAGACAACACATGTGTAATATATAGTTTGATCAGTCAAACATGGTGAAAAATTATATCTTCTTTCTGTGGATGGAAGAACATTTTCAGCTAAAACAAACCTGTCTTCTGCTTTTTGTTTGATACAGAGAGAAGAAGTGCTGTTCTGATTAGGATAGAGTACTAGAAATCAGGAAAGCTACTCTTCATGGCTCTGACAGGCACTTCTCAGCCTGAATAGGGCACTAAACCTTTATGTGCTTCAGTTTTATTATTTGTAAAACAATTCTTATTTATTTCAGAAGGATATAGTGGAACTAAATAAACTAAATAAATATACTTTGAAAAAGCATATTTAGATCCCCAGTAAAAATACTGTAAATATAGGACACATCTGGTATAGAAAAATAAATTCAAGGAGGAAAAGTTTTTAAAGGGAGCTTTTAAATGTTTGTAAGATCCTTCTACTTATTCCTGGCTTAATTTTAACAGTGAAGTCTGGTAATAAAAACCAAAGCAAAGTGTTGCAGTAGGAAGGAATGACACAGACTGTTTCCTTTCCCGCCACCCTTACAGTTGGCATTGCTAACAGGTACCTTGGGGTTCTGGGACAGAAATAATCCAGCACTCCCACTATTGCACCAGGATCGTACTTGGCACTTGCTCTTCAGCTGTTTCCACAGAACAAGACCCTCTTCCAATGCCATTTGAAGACCCACAGTCAACCACAGGGTGTGCAGTCCATGCTTGGGTTAGGTCCTGTTATTGCTCTTGGCTAACAAGGACAGAGGGGAGAGCAGAAAGGAGAAGTCCTAGAGCTATTTCACAGGGACATAGATGCCTTGGGCACTCAGTACTGTTGTATGCCTGAGACACAAACTGTCTTGGAGAGATTTGAGGCCCACGGTTTTGATTCAGATGGCTAGTGCAGTGTAGTGGTTGTTTGGCTTCCCCTGACTAAATGGTGTCTGAGCTAAATCATTTAGTTCTTTGCCTTGGGCTTTGTGTCCTGACTATTACTATGAGTGTATTTAAGGGATCCCCATCCCCTTTCCAGCTATCACATAAGGAAGCAGACATACACATCTGCTTATATGCATATCCAGATTTATTTTCAGGTTTCCCATTTCAAGGCTTTCTTTATTCAGACTTCTTCAACATGATTGGTGCTCCATGTGAGTCATGGCTGCTGCGTTCAGCTCATTACCCTCAGGGCCAAATGAGAGATGGCACCAGGCATACAGAAGAAAGAAAACTGTGTGCAAAGAAGTTACCATACTGGAAAGAAGCACTTGAAATCAAAAGGTTGATTTATATCCCTGTGGGCTGATACTCTAGATACATTTGCAGAAGAGAAAAAATAAAACCTTATCCTAACTCAGCCTTGTTGGGACCAGGCTAGGGTTACTCAGGTGAGTAACTACTGGCTTATGTGAGCAAAAGCATTTACATCTTGCTAAAATTCTAGATATTTTTTGTGGACACCTTTTTGGTTCATAGAAACAAATATACTTGGACTATTATCTTAAAGCAGAAAAAAAAAATGCATCACCACAAACATTTTTTATTAGCTTTAGATATTGTTCTATTTATTATTAGGTGTCCATACTAGTGCTTTTGGGAAAAGCTACATTGTGGCTACTGACTTAATATCTGAACTAGCTATACTATGAATGGTGAGAAATTCCTAAGTGATCTGACCTAGCTTTTGTACTGTGGCTGAGATCATCTACAGGACTGACAGCTAGATGAACCCACCAACAGCTGAAGCTCTCCTCACCTAGCCAGTGACTGAGATTGCTGCTTGAAGATCTTTTATTCTTTTCTTGTGTGTTAATTGCAGTCTGTATTCTTAGCTAGTCATCATGACTCCTTACAACACTGGGGTCTCACACAGATAGCCTAGTGAAGAAAAGGACAAAGAAATAGGCAGAGCTGAAAACCATGTCAAGCTCTCTCCTGTCATGTCAGATCAGCTGATGTTATCAAAGATTTAACATACATCTAGCTGATTCCCATTGTGACCATAGGATTAGCACAATATAGAGTTGCAATATAAACATCAGTGTATTTGCAGATAACCTGAGCCACTTGATGCTGCTGAGTATTTCCTACGTATTTATATGCTGTCTAAAATGGTAGCTATCACTACTTACATTATTCTGTATATCTGCATACCTAAAATTATATAGATGTACACACTGTGTTGTTCCACTGCAAAGAGGGAAGGAGCAGCCCATAATTCCTTCTGGGATCTGCTCAGCAATTAATAGGTTATGTAACATATTCTGCATAACAGAGGCCAAAGTACCTCATCCAATAATTTATGCACCAAGCCGCTAGTGTCTGTCTGAGTTGGCATGAGTTTTCAAGAAAGACCCAGTCCTGACTTTACCACTCCCTATACAAGACATTTTAGTAATTAATTAACCTCAGCAGTCATAATTTGTGTCGTGTTTCTAGTGAGCATTTGTTTAATGTCTATTTACAAGCACTGGAACTCATACCCTTTGGTTTGCTGATTACTTGGGCTTTTCTTCCTAAAGTAAAAACCACCTTCAATCAAAAAAATCCTTTACAGCACAGGAGCTGTTAAAATGTGTGCAATTCACTGCACAACCTTCTTAATGGCATTTGCTACAAAAGCATGAAGAATTGTAAGTTGCTTTCTCTGTGAAAACCCAAGAGAAAGCAGACAGAGCTGGGGTGTGCAGTGCTACCTTTAGCTGAAGTAATGGGGACCTGCTTCCAGGCAAGACCCTAGAGATGCCACTCGCTAAACACCTGGGGCTCCCTCTGGCCCAGACACACGAGTTCTGCACCAAAAAAACAAGACAGGAGGGGCTGAGGCATGAGTATGTTTCACGACAGGATGGGGTCCATACCTTGTCAAGAGGCATGCCCAGGCCTAGAAGCTTAGAAATACTACAGTAGTTTAGACATACTCTTGTTCACTCAAATATATTTTGGAGGGGAAGACATACCGCCCTACATTGCACTGGTTCCACTCAGCCAGTGCTCAAGGGAGCACAAGCGGCCATACTAGGTCTTCCTCCACAAGTCATGTAGTAGGACTAAGAGTTATTTTTTTCCTTTGGCCAAATATGAACAAAAGTGTGGAAATTATCACTTTTCATGTATTCTTAACATTGCTAAATACATTCTCATCTACTGTTTATGTGTTCTGTTTATATATAAATAGAATATTGATAGCAGGGTACAGCCCAAGGTTTATTTGAGGGCAAGGTTTAGGAAAGCATGCTTCTTTTTGGAAAACATGCTTCTTTTTCCTCTGGGTAAGGAGGAATGCTGTAGTAGTCAAAAACTGCCAGAGATAAAGCCTCTTATCTCATTTACCTAGAGCCTAACTTGTCTGTGCTTCTAAAGTCTAGAACACAAAGCACACTCCATTGCGGACAAATTCCATAGATTTGCTATCATATGTTTCCTACATTTTGTGTAGCTCAAATGTATTTTTCAAAGGAAAAATGCCTTGTAAGAAATGCTTTTCTATATCTCTAGGTGTGTTGTGTGGAATTCTTTAAGCTAAATTGCCCTCTAGACAATGTTGACAATGGGAAAGAGTTTTCCTTCAGTATTTACAGAAGTAGGGTCTATGATTAGGGAACGAAAAGTGCAGTATAATTAGGAAGATATTAAGCCACACTACGCAATAGACGAAGACTTCTGACAATAAGGTAAAGGTATCCCTAGCCCTGTTTTTATTGACTGACAGATATTACATAGGTGTGGAAATCAGATATACATATCAGAAAACTATTAGCCAAATCTTGGTATTCAGTTGTACCATTGCAATTTCATGGTCCAAAGACTTTGGTTTTGTTGCTTGTAAGTGTTGCCTCTCTACTTATGCTGTACTACACTCCTCTGAACAGTATTAATGATCCATTTTCAAGTCAAGTGAAACATTCCTCAAGGTCTTTTCCTTCTTGAGAAAAGAATTTAATAACAGAGAAAAAAGATTATCTTCTGAGGTTTGGATTGTTTGCTATCTTTCTTAGTCTGGAAAAGGCAACTAAGCAAAAAAAGAACTGTGGGAACTTAAGGATGTTATACAAAAATAATTTAGTACTTTATTGCATATTTAGAGTTGCAAATGACCACTGAGTCATCCATGTGTTGGTACTGTGGCAAATTTGATTTAATCTTTCTGAAGCTATCCCTGATAAGGAGCCATCTGCTTCTCTTCGCTGCTCTGACATTTTGTCTTGAATATATCCATTCACGGTAGACATTTACAGTTTCATATCACTGTAAGAGTCACTGGGAATTCTAAGGAATGTCCTTGCCCAAAAGGCAAGATTTAGTAAAGAGCTACAGAATGGATCAGAATTAACCATTTGTTTTAGCCTTTTGACTTCAATGGGCTGAGTTTGAAGCGAAGGATATACAGATTGATCTTTCTTAAGTCCTTCCTATTTATGGCTATGTCAAACCCCAAAACTTTTTAAACGATGTAGAAACAAAAGCAGATGACTTCGTATAAAATCTCTTTTGAACAAAAGGTTGCAGATGTAGAGGGAAAAAGTGAGCCTAATATGGTGAAAGAGCAACAACCCTCAGAAAGGCATATATCAAGGAGTGCCCTCATTGGGGAGGTGACATTCCCTGAGAAAACACGTCTAGGAGATAAGGAGCCTTAAGAAAGAGAGTTAGCTTAGCATTAGCAGCAAAATAAGTTCTTGAAAAAATTTACAGGAATCTACATTTACCCCAAATAATTAAATGGATGAGGTAAATCTTTAAAAAACAGATTGGGAAAAGAAGCCATGTGGGATAAGAAGATAACCATCACAGCATTACATGAAATGTTAATGACATTGAGTTATTGGCCTTTATACTGAATTGAGATAGAAAAAGTACTCTTCCTATTACCTTGATTTTGTTATCATCTTACTCTTAGAATAACTTGGATGGCCTGCCCTTGAACAATACAATTTGGTACATAGTGAAATTAAAAAGATAAAATTTCCTCTATTTCAAAATTAACATATGATCAATTGGTGGCCCTCCACCCTACGCCTTGTACATGATAAACAGTAGCCATGATTCCCAATCGCTGTTTTTCCAACAGCAAAACGCTGGTATAGGAAATCCCTACCAACATTAAAAAATAGATTGCACTGGGCTACCATCAGTACAGTTCTGAGCAGTAGCAACATCTGTCACTGCTTTTTATTTTTACGGCATCCAAATCTCCACTTGAGACTCACTGAAAGGACTTTAGAAAGGAGGGATAAAGTAAAAAAAGAAAAAAAAAAAAAAAAGTCATTTTGGGCTCTGGGCTCAGGCTGAGGGGGAGACTGTTTCCTTTGCTATAAATGAAAGCAGCTAGAGTCCAATCTTGCTTCCACTGAAGTCACAGATTTCATCATACAAGACAGGGAGAGAGTTTAATAGTTTTCATTTCAGTTCTTTATGTTTCCATTTCTTTAGAGACTTGAGTGCTCATAGATAGGCAGACATTTTCTGATAAACACACCTCATTGTACTTTCCTTGCTTTTACAGGTTGAGGTTTAAATAGTGTTTATGCATTCCTTCATCTTTTGTTTTCTTGTATGTGCTAATAGAAACAGTAGGGTTGCTGTGATATCATAAGCAGAATAAAACCAATAAAACTCTGACTTGGGATGTTCCTCACTAGTTACCTTGCCTAAAGAAATTTATTGTCTATGGTTATAACAGATCAAAACAATTACATGGGGAAACAAAATAAACTGTGTATACTCAGCATCTCCCAAATGTTGATCTTGTTGTCACAAGCATTACTGCACTGTGTTCTTTTTCTCCATTTTCACATTCATGACAATTCATATCCAACAGACATTATCAAACAAACATGGTACCTCTGTTTCTTATGTGCTACGGTAAGATAATAAGTTTGATATCTGTGATCTGGTAGGTTCTGTTGAAAACCTGAAAGATTTATCTTTCTCACATGTCTATAGGAACCAATTATCGGATCACCTTAAAATCTTCAATTTTAATCTCACCAAACCTTTGTGAAATAGGAAACTGTTATAAATACTACTTTACGTATTTGGGAAGTGAGGATCACAAAGAATAAGATCAAGATTATTACAGCTATTAAAATGTCCCTGCACTCAGGGGCACATAAGATATCACTGATTTAGATGCCTAAGCCTTTCTGAAGTCCCAGGCCCCAATAACTACAGCACCGTCTGATTCAAAGCAGAGCCTGGGCCGCCAGCAAACCCAGAAATGATTCATAGTCACCAAACTACTGAATCTCAACTCCATCCTTCTGAGGTTTTTTTTTCTCTGGAAAATATAGACTTGAAGAGTGTGTTCACACAAAAATTTTCCAAAGAAGAAAGTGTTGTCATTCTTCTGGGAGATGTTATGGATCTGATTAATCTGTTTCTTTTTTCATTGTTGAAACTAGTTTTGTCTAATAATTCCAATGTGCTCTTACTCTACAGCATGTCAGCTGTATTACTGCAGGATAGTAGGAACTGGCACCTGCTCAGAAACCCAAATTGTTCGAAGCAGATCTTTCTTTACGTCTTTCTTTCATTAATGAATCTCAGATTACATTGTGAAAGTTTAATCTGACATTCTGTTTACATTCAGTAGCAACCTCAGACTGAAGCGATTTTTAAAAAAGGTGCAGAACAGGAAAATAAATCAGCATTGGTGTCAGTTTACTTTATTTCGATAATGGTCACCATGGAAACAAAGTCACTGACTTATTTCTTTTCATACATATAAGTAAACACCAGGGTTTCCAATTTTCATACATACCATTTTTTGTACCAACAATTTACCTTACAGAATGTCCATAACGTACTATCTTACTGGAACTTACATTTTTTTCTCCAAGGGGCTGCATTGAAGCTGGTGCAGGGTCTGGAGCACAGGTCATACGAGGAGCAGCTGAGGGAACTGGGGGTGTTTAGTCTGGAGAAGAGGAGGCTGAGGGGAGACCTCATCGCCCTCTACAGCTACCTGAGAGGAGGTTGCAGAGAGCTGGGGATGAGCCTCTTTAATGAAGTACAAAGCAACAGGAAAAGAGGTAATGGCCTCATGTTGCAACAGGGAAGGTTTAGACTGGATATTAGGAAGCATTTCTTCACAGAACAGGTTGTTAGACGTTGGAATGGGCTGCCCAGGGAGGTGGTGGAGTCCCCATCCCTGGAGGTGTTTAAGAGTTGGGTCGACATAGCGCTGAGGGATACGGTGTAGTTGGGAACTGTTAATGTTGTGTTGATGGTTGGACTGGATGATCTTCAAGGTCTTTTCCAACCTAGATGATTCTGTGATTCTGTGGTTCTGAAGTTCCTTCACCAGGGAGACAATATAAACTCAGTACTGTCATAATACTGGACCACTTCTATTTTCACTACACCTACTCGTGCACATAGGTGCAGTGACTGTAAACCAGCAATCTAACAGCAGAATGATTAGACATCCTTCAACAGCCACTTCTGACTCACCAGATTAATTTCAGATTACTTCATTCTCCATCTTTTAAAAATACTGGTCAGTGCTACTACACAAGAACATCTTCCAAACGACAAACTAGCTGCCATTGAGTGGACACCTTCTGCTTCCCATGGAGGAGACCTTTTCTCTTACTTCCCACTGGCACTCTTTAAACAATTTAGTACCACTGACCTGGCTTGTGTCATACTGTTCAGAACCTATGGATACATTCTTTGCTTGTTGTATTTGCATTATGCACATTGATTCATATGCACTTAGACAGGCTGCAGATGAACCCACAGATAGTTTCAACAAGCTGACACCCAAAGTGAGTGTGAACATATAAGCACAACATATCCATACTTGCACAAAGAAGAAGATAATGGAGTTTGCAAGGAATACTGCAAAAACATTAGGTTCTCCTTTTTATATTGATCACCCTCTCCCCAACCCTCTTAAGCATTGACTGTATGTTGTGTGTGTGCAATGTGCTGCGGCCTGAAGGATAACCACCCACATGTGTAGGAAGAGAGAAAAATCATATATGGAAATGTTGGAAAGTAAAAGTTTAATATTGCTATATTACAGTCTCTGAGACTATGCCCTGTGCTTGTCTCACCTTGGTAACAGTTAGATAATCTAGCACATTAGCTGCACATTCTAGGCCAAGTGCACTGCTAGAGTCACTCTAGTGATGTAATACAGATATTTTCCTCTCCTTTAAGCAATGTAAATCCATATAATACCATCGAATTTGATGGCATTACTCCAAGACTAAATAGATATAACTATGAACAAAATTATCTGACTGAACCAAGCTGTTCAGAAAGAAATCAAAGACATGCCAGAGAGAAAGTGCCTTTTACTCTGTTGTTCTGTGACAAGCCTGACTGCTCTATCTTTCATAGGCATTTTAGGTTTAAGCTAAAGGCATATGAAAATAATTGTTTTAAGTCAAGTTCATCTACATCCATTGCTCATAGCAGCCAATATATGCATTTTAACTGGGAACTGAGTATTGTCTAGGTCACCTCATATGGAGATTTGTTAGATTTTTATTTTTTGTTCAGAAAGTATTATCCTAAACTTGGCTGCTATTTCTGCAATCTACCAGACAAATGTGGTTACAATTTCCTAACTCCCATTGCCTGAATTTCCTTAAACTGCTTCATAAACAGAATTTAAACATGCTTTAGCTAGTGCTTGTGATAGATTAAAGTTTTGCTCTAATACACTCCCAAAACCTCTGTTCCAGCTGAGGGCACTGACCTTCCAAATAAATACAACATGTTTTGTTTCCATGCTCTATATCTATCTCAATGGTCTGCAATCTTTCAAACTTTCCTTCCCCCTCCTTCTCTTGGTTTCTGCTGTTGTTTCCCACTGATGGTATTGACATGCAAGCTTTCTTATTGGGTAACGCTGGGCAAGTTTAACTGCTGCTGTCCACTGAAGGAAGATTTCTGTTATGACGTCCACCAGTTTTTACAACAGCAGCCTGGGGAGCCTGAACTCAGCAGTCAACAGCTTGTGGGATTAAACAGGAAGAGGAAAAATAATAATAAAAAATCCCCACCAACAACTGCTTCAGTCTTAATACACTCCAATGATTTTTAGTTTTTTCAGATCCCTGGGATATAAAGTCAGAGGGCTTCTCCTCATTTTCTACCTTTTAACAGTCCAATGTTCAGTCCAGAGCTGCTGTCACTGTGATTTTGTTTTTCAACTTTAAAACATTATTTTAAGGTTATTTGGTTTTGTATCTTTCAATTGGTCAGAGATACAATATGGGAGAATTGTTGTGGGGAGGGACATAAATGATGGTGACTCTTCTGTTCCAAGCAGATCTCACCTGTAGCGTGTTGGCTGCACAGTGTCTCCACATAGAGTAAAAATACACATAAAAATACAGACTGTAAAAATAGTCCTGTTTTACTTCATATCATCAGTTCCTAATATATCCAATATATCTTGGTTTATTTCAATAATAAAAATTAATACATTCTACATTAGGATTGTATAGTCCACTAAGAGTTCCAGATTGATGGAACCATTGGTGATAGTTGCATAATAAGTTTTCTAAAGTAAAACCACCCTAAAAAGTGCATTGTGTTCCAGGCGACTGCATGGGGGACCTGGAGTATTCTACATCCTGCCTCAGAGCAGAGATTAGTAAAATTTTAACTGTAGGAGTTAGCTTCAGGAAGAGTTTTTATTTCTTTGTCAAGTGGAGTTCGCAAATGGGAAGTTTAAATTAAAACAGGATAAAATAAAATAACCTTTCTTTAATCACTGTGCTAAATTAAATTCATCAAGCACCCCCATAAACACAGGACCTTCATTTTAAGGATATAGAATTCTAAATATAGACATTGTTGAGAGAAGCAATTTCAGAGACAGCAAAAGAAAAGTCCAGGTCAGAGATGGAGCATGTGTAACAATAATATCTCTTTAGAAATATACCCTACCTCTGGTTTTGGCCACCCTCCAAAATTCTACTTCTGAAAAATGCAAAAAGATGGAAACATTATAAAAAGAACCCATGGAACAGTGTCCTGCATCGTGCTGATGGTTTATAAAAGAGTGGTTTGTCTCAGCTAACTGTTCCACATTTATAAAATTAATGGTCTCAAAAGACAAGTAAATGCTTACTGCACATAGCAAACACATTGCAGAAATCCACTTAGATGGTACTAACTTTCCATTAATTTTCTCTGCATCTTGCCAGAATAAGCAGGCAGCCGGCAGGGTACTCCTGTGTGTAAGCCTAGACCTTGAAATTGTTGATTTCTACAGGTAGATTCCTCACACCATACTTATGGTGCTTAAATAAAAATGATCATACTTTCAAAACTGTGAGAAATGTACAGTTGCCACAGACACTGAGGAGATCTGCAGCTTCTGGGCAAGCCAGGTACCTCCTCTTCTGGCACCTATCTATGGTGTAGCTCTGGTTGCTCAAACATAAAAATCTTGGTGTAAGTCTTGATCTACAGGACTTTGTACCGCTTAAAGTTTTTTGACTGGATCAGTGATTTCTCTGTTAAAATTATAGAGATTATACATTCCAGATTTATAGAGTTTCCTGTTCATGGAAAGACTTCTTACTCTCTTGCTCCCTGAAAATTTAAGCCATACTGGTGTGAGTACTTTATAGCTCCATGCCTGCAGGTGTGCCAAAAGGATTTCTGAGCTGGTGTTGAAGGTGAAAATATTTACATGTTAATGATTTTGTAGCAAATCAAGGTTTATTAATGACTACCAGCACTTAATCATTAGCCAGTTTAAGGATTTACACAATAATTCAGTAAAATATGTTAAAACAGTGACCCAACTGCAGATACGAAGATTACAAGATTCACACTAAATTACTATACGGTACCTTAAATCAATACCTATATACATGCGCATTCACACACACAAAATGTACAAACACACAGACAGATAAAAGTATTTGGATATTAATACTTGGATACTAATACTTGGTAGTAAAATAAGTATGCACCCACACTCATGAAAATAACTGTGTATATCTAAACACATCGGTAGGTAGAGAGGTGGGTGAAAGCGAAGCCATCTCAAAGTTAAAATTTCCCTCTTCTCAAGTCTATTCACAATGCAGCGGCACTTCTCAACAGATGAGAGTTGAGACTCGAGAGGGTCAACTTTGCCCTGGCCTGCTGTTGGCTCCAATGGCAGATGGTTAATACTTTCATCTGCGACAGCCGGGGGTTAAGTGGTAGAAGCTTGTGTTGTTGGTTGAGGGGTGGCATGGTAAGTTCAGCAGCCCAGCTGGGCTCCAGGGGATGCAGGTCGCTGTAACTAGATGGTGATCTGTTGGAGTTCTGCCTCTGCTTCCTGGGGCAGCAACTTTCACGAAGGCTGTGAAATAAATATATTTTATTTGTGGTTTGTAGCTTTAGAATTTATTTTATTAATCAATCAGCTCGATGTAAATTAAAGAGCATGGTCTATTAAAACCTCTGTGTAGCTGGATATGGTGATCTACCCTAAGGAAAAGCCTGCTTCCTTTTAGCAAGGAATCTCCAGCACCCTGCCTATGATGAACGTCCT